ATCAGTAGCGGCAGGATGCGAAGACTTGAGGTCTGGCAAAAAACCACTATTCTATAAAGCTGTGTAGAGTATGATGGCACCACTGACATAAGAAGGATGTGCTAAAGCTGATCTGTTTACAACGCTTTGAATACCGCTAGAGTGCCTGCAAACTAACCCGGAGACCGAGAAGGGCCTCGATCGAGATCAGGATGCCTGGCGCCTTGCCGTAAACATTGGAACGGTCATATTTGAAGCTAACGGAATACCTGCTGCCAGGGGTAAAGAGACCAGCAATATTCGCGTTTTACGGAGCTATGTTGCAGGTATCCAGCCACTGCCGTTGCGTCCACACTGTCATCCGACAATCCAGGTACAGACCCATTCTGTTTGACATCTCCAGCCCCGGTACAATTTCAACTCGCAGTTTACCGACCCCACTGATAAGTGGCAAACACTATTTCCTTATTACCAAGTGTCTTTGTTCCTATGTCTGTGGAAACAGTGATGAAACATCTTAAAAAGGTTCGAGGTTCAACAGCTGCCGGGCCAGATTGGATCTTACCGTTTCTCCTGAAATCCTGCTCTTTTCAGTTAGCCCCTGCATTGACACATCTCATCAACTTGTCCTTCATGGAGTCTAAGATTCCCGATGATTGGTGATCAGTGAGAATCACTCCAATCCCGAAAAAACCACTTCTTCTGGTCCAAAATCCTTTCGTCCAATTGCCTGCTCTTCTGCACTACTGAAACTTGTAGAACGAATTGCCTTAGACATCATTACGCCGATTTTTCCGATCCCTTGCAATTTGCGTATACGGCTAGGCGTAGTACTCTAGACGCGGCTGCTCTGGTAGTCCATTCTGCTCTAAGAGATTTAGATCCTGTACATACGGATGTGCTTTTCCCGACTACTCCTCAGCCTTTAGTACCATCCCACGCCATCTTCTACTTAATAAAACTTCTGCATGCGGCTCTCCTGGCTGGGCTGTCTCTTAGCTTGGGGACTATTTCACTTCCCGCACTCAATTCATTCAGTGCGGCAAGCGAAAATCCACGCTCCTTCCCAACAACTGTAGAGTTTTCTAAGGGTCTATATTATCCCCTCATCTCTTCTCCCTCCACATTGATGACCTTTGATCGCCAAACGAATGTTTGTTTGTTAAATATGCTGATGATATGGTTGTTGGCCATCCTCACAAAAGTCAGACACATCTCCAAGTACTGAAGGATGGCCTAGAACACGTCTCAACGTGGTCGTCAGCAAATGGCCTTCTACTTAACGAGCGGAAGTCAGTCCAGTGAATTTTTCGACAGTGACCCTCTCCCCGTCCTAAAGCTATTGACATTCTGCCTAACGAGATGTCCTCTTTCCTGATGTTACTCTGACATCCAACCTTACATTTGCTCTTCATATAGAAAGCCTTTTTATCAAAATGCATTAACGTTTATATTATATCCGCCGCTTGCCTTTATATCGCACATCGCAAGCCCTAATCTGACGATTCATAGATGCCTGTATTCTCCCCCTCATTCTTAACTGCTTTCCAGTTATTTTTCCAGCTTTACTTAAAAAGACCTAGTCATTCTTAAACGTATCGTCCGAATGCTTTCTTCAGCTGCCGATTTTTCCTATGTTTCTTTTGCTGACATTATAGTACAGCGCCACTTTAAATCAGTCAAGCAATTTGCTGATCGTATCCTTAGTGAGGTCGCTCACCCTCTGCATTCTGAACTAATGGCTGCGAAGTCTTCCCGTGCAATGCGCCGAGGCTTCCGTTATATGCCTTGCCGTACATCGGCATATCAACACTCTGTACTCCCAGTCCTAGCACACTACCTCGCGTGTGAAGAAGCGGAAATTGAGAAGTTGAAAGCTGACCTGTCTCCATAGTAGATCTGGATATCGTGTAAACCTTTAAGTTGGAGTATTCTATGACCTTTTACCATGAACCCTTACTTACCTTATTCCTTGCTCTCGATGAATGGAGCCATTTTTTGCTGAAAATTTAGGATATGCCCTTCTAAATAAAGCATGCTTCTCTCAATATGTAACATCCGTGGCCCTATCGCACTGGATTAGATTAATAAGTACAACCCTTGTCGCTGCGATCTTCAGCTCCGGTTTCGTG